GAATGCGGCTTTATAGTCGACGAATAGGTGGAATGTTTCGATGTGTTTTTCGTGGGGTTTTTCCAGGATTTGGTGCAGAGTGAAAATCAGGTCAATGGTCAATTGCCAGGTCTGAAGCCGCATTGGTATGGTCCAATAATGTCGATGACCATTGGCTTCAGTAATTCACACAGCACGCTTGATAGCACTTTATATCCAATAATTGCTTTCCTCTAGCCAAATTGTACTAATCAGCTGGTGCATGCTTCTTACCAGTCTTGAATAGTTCGGCTTGTAACCCATCGGTACCTGGTGCTTTATTATTCTTCAGCCGATTGATTAATATTCTGACCTCATCTTGGCTATGTGGTATACACTCTGTGCCGTCATCTATTATTGATTCTGGGGTATCCTCTTCACCGCTACTATTTGATACCAGAAGCTTTTCAAAATGCCCCTCCAGATCCGCAGCACGCTGTCTCTATCTGTCACCAGGTTTCCTTCTTCATCTATACAGGAGGATGTGCCTGTATCAAATCCTTTGGTTTGGTCTTTTACTTGTTGGAAAAATTTTCGCACTTATTTCTGACTCCCGTACATCTCGATTTACTCACACCCACGACGGGTGCGTCTAAAACACTGGGCGAATGCCTTCCGCCTATCACAACATGGTCAATTTGATTTCTCGTTACTTGATCAGGAGAAATCCAGGTGGCCTTGTGAATATCGAGTTGCTTGAATCTGGTGCTGCTAACCATGTTTAACCATGTTTTTTGCTGCCGCGAAGTTAATCAACATCATGCCGTTGTCGTATGTTTCTTCGTGGAGGCTGAATTTTCCGACAGTGGGACGAACAAATATTTTCCCTTACGACTTTTGCATTAAAATCTCTTAGCAGAATTTTAATGTCATGGCCAGGAAAGCGGTCATATGCAGTTTCTAGGCGCTCTTAAAATATGTCTTCGGTGTGTTCATATTTATATTCGGTCGGAGCATGGGCACAAATGAGACTGATGTAGAAGAACTTCGCTTTTATACGGATTATAGCAATTCGCTCACCTACTGGAGTGAATCTGGAGACGAGGTCTTTTATTCTCCTGTTAACCATAAATCCGCAGCCAAATTCACGTCTCGTTTCATGTCAGCTATAATACAGGCGTAATCATCTGATTTTCTTACGCCAGTCCCTTTCCATCGCTTTTCCTGTAAGGCAAAAATATCGGCATTGTACTTCTCGAGTACATCCGCCAAGGCGAAAACTCCGCCTGTTCTGTACAACGTGCGCACTGTCCAAATGCAGATTTGTAGATCGTGGTCCTATATACATTTGCGGGGCTCGTCAACATTGGGGAGGTTTGGTTTTCTTTTTCGTTGCTTTTTCATAGTAAGATGGGGTTTCCGAGTGTGGGCAACTAACTCGACGCCCCAACCCATCTTTTTTATAGTTATTATGGGTGAACTCGCGGCACATATTAACTCAATATTTCAATGGATAATGAATGTAGCTACCCCAAGTGACACCGCTGGGAGGTCAGTGTCCACAGTTGAGACGAAGGAGGGACCAAGATAAGCTTGGACTTCGCCATGTAAAAGCCAATCAGAGCCGTTGCATTGTATCTATCATCACCTACGTCACCTATGAAAATTATTTTTTTAAATCTCCGCCTATAGGCGGAGAAAATTAAAAAAATAATTAAAAAAAAATCTTTTGTGCCTCTAAAAATATTCTCTTAAAAATCCACATTTTAATTTCTAACATCTCATATAACCACTCCCTATGCAATAATTATCTCTAAGCACTTGCCGGGATTTTAGATACATTTGCTCGCCCAGGGTAGGAGTTTATAAATGGAATTAACTGCAGTAGATTTATCTCTACATTGTTGTCTCATTGTATCTGCGGTTTGATGAGAACTTTCATTATACAATATTATATTTATATTCTGTACTTTGTAACAAAAGTCCCACAACAATAACAACAACAATAAATGACTAATCTACATATTAATCTACAGAAGGCAGGCAACCAGGCATTGCATGCAAATTGTTTCCAATATTAAAAATCTAGTCGATTCCTCTTTTGAGATTTCAGTTCGTGCCGGTTCGATTTCAGTAGTAGTTCAAAATATGACAGTGATCGAACGAACGAACGTACGACAATCTGTTTTGTTGTAATGTTAATTCATTTTCTAGCATTTGTAGAGATTTAGTTTAAATTGACGATAAGAAAGTTAAGTTGAGCGATAAGTCAGTCGTGTAACCAATCAAGCGTTCAATCGCCCAACCAGTCAGCTAGCCATTCTGCCACCCAGTCCAACTTGCCACATTGTTTCCGTGTATTAATTCGAAAAAAATGACGCAATATTTTGAGAAAGGTCGGTAATTTTGATTGATTATGATAGACGCCGTTTTTTCTATTTAATGGGCTCTATTAACACATCGTTATATGTCAATGGATGTGTATATGTCATGGTGTGTGTGTGGTTTTTATGCGGTGAGAAAATATTGTGATTAATTTGATCGTCAATTAATTAATTAATTGATAATTGCAAATTTTTTTTATGAATGTGAAAAGTGTTTTTTAATTCAATTAACTAGCTTGGATTTGAATAATAAATTAATTTCGAAAATCTGTGGACCTTTAAAAATATGAAATATTTAAATAATATTTTTATTTAAAGCCTGTACTGTTTAAAAAACCATTTTTATCGACTTCAATAGGCGTGGATTTTTTAAAAATTATTTTTCAAGGTATAACTATAGGCGTGGATTTATTTGTATCAAAAAATATTATTTTAAAAATCCACGCCTTGATGGTGTCTCAAAAAATATTATTTTAAAAATCCACGCCTTGATGGTGTCTCAAAAAATATTATTTTAAAAATCCACGCCTTGATGGTGTCTCAAAAAATATTATTTTAAAAATCCACGCCTTGATGGTGTCTCAAAAAATATTATTTTAAAAATCCACGCCTTGATGGTGTCTCAAAAAATATTATTTTAAAAATCCACGCCTTGATGGTGTCTCAAAAAATATTATTTTAAAAATCCACGCCTTGATGGTGTCTCAAAAAATATTATTTTAAAAATCCACGCCTTGATGGTGTCTCAAAAAATATTATTTTAAAAATCCACGCCTTGATGGTGTCTCAAAAAATATTATTTTAAAAATCCACGCCTTGATGGTGTCTCAAAAAAATATTATTTTAAAAATCCACGCCTTGATGGTGTCTCAAAAAATATTATTTTAAAAATCCACGCCTTGATGGTGTCTCAAAAAATATTATTTTAAAAATCCACGCCTTGATGGTGTCTCAAAAAATATTATTTTAAAAATCCACGCCTTGATGGTGTCTCAAAAAATATTATTTTAAAAATCCACGCCTTGATGGTGTCTCAAAAAATATTATTTTAAAAATCCACGCCTTGATGGTGTCTCAAAAAATATTATTTTAAAAATCCACGCCTTGATGGTGTCTCAAAAAATATTATTTTAAAAATCCACGCCTTGATGGTGTCTCAAAAAATATTATTTTAAAAATCCACGCCTTGATGGTGTCTCAAAAAATATTATTTTAAAAATCCACGCCTTGATGGTGTCTCAAAAAATATTATTTTAAAAATCCACGCCTTGATGGTGTCTCAAAAAATATTATTTTAAAAATCCACGCCTTGATGGTGTCTCAAAAAAATATTATTTTAAAAATCCACGCCTTGATGGTGTCTCAAAAAATATTATTTTAAAAATCCACGCCTTGATGGTGTCTCAAAAAATATTATTTTAAAAATCCACGCCTTGATGGTGTCTCAAAAAATATTATTTTAAAAATCCACGCCTTGATGGTGTCTCAAAAAATATTATTTTAAAAATCCACGCCTTGATGGTGTCTCAAAAAATATTATTTTAAAAATCCACGCCTTGATGGTGTCTCAAAAAATATTATTTTAAAAATCCACGCCTTGATGGTGTCTCAAAAAATATTATTTTAAAAATCCACGCCTTGATGGTGTCTCAAAAAATATTATTTTAAAAATCCACGCCTTGATGGTGTCTCAAAAAATATTATTTTAAAAATCCACGCCTTGATGGTGTCTCAAAAAATATTATTTTAAAAATCCACGCCTTGATGGTGTCTCAAAAAATATTATTTTAAAAATCCACGCCTTGATGGTGTCTCAAAAAATATTATTTTAAAAATCCACGCCTTGATGGTGTCTCAAAAAATATTATTTTAAAAATCCACGCCTTGATGGTGTCTCAAAAAATATTATTTTAAAAATCCACGCCTTGATGGTGTCTCAAAAAATATTATTTTAAAAATCCACGCCTTGATGGTGTCTCAAAAAATATTATTTTAAAAATCCACGCCTTGATGGTGTCTCAAAAAATATTATTTTAAAAATCAAAAAATATTATTTTAAAAATCCACTCCTTAAGCGTGTCCAGAAAAATCTTACTTAAAAATTCATACTTTAATGGTGCCTCTAAAAATATTATTTTAAAAATCCGCGCCTTAAGGCTGTGCAGAAAAATATTATTTCAAAAATTAATGCTTTTTCAAAAAAATATTATTTTAAAAATCCACCACTTGTTGCTATTTGAAGGAATATTTTATAAAATTGCACGCCTTTTCCACTGTTTGAAAAATATATTTTATTAAACATTTTTTTAATCCTTTCTTTATTCGAATATGTTTTAGTCCATGTCCTGTCCGCTACATTAAATACTTCTGTGTGTTCCAGTTTTTCCAACATAACCTCATTTTCCCCCCATCAGATTGACGTTGAGGGTTTTTAATCCCAATTTTATTTCTCATTTTCCTCTCTCTCTGTTTTCCCATTGCAGAATATTTTCATTTGTTTGCACACCAATATCAAAATGGCATCGATAACAGAAATGGCTTGCATTAAAATGCAATATTTGCATACTGCAGTGAACCAACATAGCAACAACAGCAACTCAAATTACAACAACAACTCAATCATCTGCGGCTGCTACACTTTCGCCCAAAACATCAACGATGAGACCGCCAATGCAGAAATCGGCATTGCAACAAAATGAGGCAAATCGTTTGCAACAGCATCAGCATATTGCAGCAACAGCAACACATAAGCATTTACAACAACAACACCAGCAACAAATATTACAACCACAATTAACAACAACAACAAATGGTAGCAGCTGTAGTAGTGGCAACAATAGCCTAACGACAGCAACAACCGGAACAACAAATCTCCTACTGACCCGCAACAAATGTTCAGAGGACAATCTTAATGACTTTGAGTCGCATCATCAGCAACAACTACTACACAATACCAACAATTTAATTACACCAACAGCAAGAACAATAAGACCAGGTGGTATACCCCCTCCTCCGCCACTGCGTAAATCGAAATTGGAGCAACGTGAACTCCTGGTGGAGAATCATTTGAATAACGCCTGTTTTGCTCAACCGCCACCTACACACGCGAATAACACCAACACAGCCACAGCGACATTGCCAGTCTTCTACAACGACTTCTATCAGCAGCAACAACAACACCAACAACGTCCATTAAGACCCACCACATTGTTGTGTACGACAACATCAGATGCAACAGCAACAACAAATGACAATTGTTCAGGTGTGAAATTACTTGATCTCATCAGCACTTCGCCACCCTCGCAGGACGAGTCAGGTGGGTCTTTGTTTAGGTCATCGGCAACAACAGCAGCAGCTATACAAGCTGTGAATAGCAACAGCCAGCCGAACAACTATATCAACAATAGTTGCCATCAACAGCAGCAACAACAACAACGCTATTCGTATGCCAGCCAGTATTCACGTTCCTCATCCAGTGACGATAGCAGCAGTCTAAGCCTTAATACCTCGACAACAACGGGAGGTGGCTGCCACTTGGGCGCAAATAGAACTACATCCCGACACAATACCTTTGATGATGCAGCGGAAAATTTCATTATAAATTTTCCAGCAGACACGATAGTCGAGTCAACAAAGGCCAACAACACCTCAACTAAAACTGGAAATACAACAGCAGCAACAACAACAACAAACCATAGCAGCAGTGAATTATATAACTATTGTCTGCCATTATCCGAAACTGAGCCGCTGCTAACGAACATTGAGGCGACGGTTAAGGACAAACAACGTTCCATATATTTGAACAAGAATAGTGCATCGTTGATTTTTACCAAAAAGGATTTATCGGCCACATATCATCCACAGCAACAACAGCCAAACTTTAAACTACAATCAAAAAGTCACAACAACAACAAAACCAATTATACGAGGAGACCATCTGCTCCAACTGCCTCATCCATATTCTCCTCCTCGACGTCCTCCTCCACCTCCACCCCCTCTTCGAACGGACAACAACATTCCACAAGCACTTTACGTTCCCTATCCGAGGAGAATTATCGTCGCAAACCGCCCACCAAGCATTTACCCGCCACATATCATCAACAGCATCGGCGTAGCTTACAGCTTAATTACAACAATAATCTAGTGACTACATCCACTTGTGGTCTGGTGGCCAATAATAATCATCAGCATCATTGTTGTGGTGGAGGGGCATCTACAGCGGCGGCAGCAGCCGTAACTTCGAACAACACGAACCTCAATAATTCCGCAGCAGTTTTACACAAAACTCATCATAATAATCACAATTATCCCCAACAACTGCCATCACAGCAACAACAAAATAAATTGCATACTCAGCAGCAACAACAACAACAACAACCGAAGTCTTCTGCCTACAATAATTCCAGTTCTTTAGCCAACAACACGGCAGCTGCAACACGCAAACAGTACGCGTACTCGTGGTACGCACCGGTTTATAGTGCACTCGAGGAGGAACTAGAACACGATTCTAGGGTAAGTAATTAAAGCAACAACAACAACAATAACGAGAGAAATAAATACGAACAACAACATCAATTTAATTTGGAGGAGTCTGCATAACAGATCGGAAAGGCTTCTTAATAGCAAAATTTCTTATTCATAGGAAAGCCAAAATTCTGCCGATCCTGCCATAGAAGAGCAGAAGATCTGGTCCCTTCGTAAAAAATTAGAAGGTCTTCTCCTTCATAAAAGATCAAAACTTCAGTTCCTTCATAGAAGAACAGCAGTTCTGCTCCCTCATAGAAGAGCAGAAGGTTCGATCTCTTTATAAGAGAGCAGAATGTTTGCTTTTTCTTTATAGTAGTAGGTCTGCTTCTTCATTGAAGGGCAGAAGGGGTGTTTTTCCCCCATAGAAGAGCCGAAGGTTTGCTCACTTCATGGAGGAACTGAAGGTCAGTTCCCTTCGTAGGAGTGCAGAAGGTCAGAACCCTTCATAGAAAGCAGAAGGTCTACTTCTTGTTCATAGAAGGACAGAAGGTCTGCTTCTTCTTCATAGAAGAACAGAAGTTCGCTTCTTCATAGAAGAGCTGAAAGTCAGCTCCCTTCGTAGAAGAGCTGAAGGTCAGGTCCCTTCATTGAGGAACTGATGGTCAGCTCTCTTTATAGAAAATCAGAAGTTCTGCTTCTTCATCTTAGAGCATAAGGTCTACTCCTTTTTTATACAAGGGCAGGGTCTTCTCCCTTCATAGAAGAGCTGAAGGTTTTTTTTACTAAAGGAACTGAAGTACTTATTCCTAGAAGAGCAGAAGAAGAAAATATCCTTGAAAATCCACGTCTTTAATACACTCTTGTAGTCCTTATGATCCTTGGAAAAAATATCTTTTAAAATACACTCCTGTAGTCCTTATGATCCTTTGAAAAAATATTCTGTAAAATCCACCCCTATATCTTTGAAAAAATATTCTTTTAAATACACGCCTATATCCTTGAAAGAATATTTTTTAAAACCCCTGCCTATATCCTTGAAAAAATATTCTTTAAAATCCACGTCTATATCCTTGAAAAAAAAAATCTATTAAATCTACGCTTAGTCCGAAGGTTTGCTCACTTCATGGAGGAATTGAAGGTCAGTTCCCTTCGTAGGAGTGCTGAAGGTCAGAGCCCTTCATAGAAGGACAGAAGGTCTGCTTCTTCTTCATAGAAGAACAGAAGTTCGCTTCCTAATAATCCTTAGAAGGAAAATATTCAGCTCTCTTTTAGAAAAAAATTCATGCCTTTCGTCCTGCTAGTCCTTGGAAAATATTTCATTTAAAATGTCTACGACCATGGCCCTGCTAGTCCTTTGAAAATATTGTTTAAAAATCCACGCTTTCGTCCTGCAAATCCTTGGAATATATTTTCTTTTAAAAATCCAGTCTTTGGGAAAATATTCTTTAAAACATCTACGCCTTTCGTTCTGCTAGTCCTTGACTAAATATTCTTTAAAACATCTACGCCTTTCGTCCTGCTAGTCCTTGACTAAATATTCTTTAAAACATCTACGCCTTTCGTCCTGCTAGTCCTTGACTAAATATTCTTTAAAAAAATCCACGCCTATGGTCCTGCTAGTCCTTGAACAAATATTCTTTAAAAAATCCACGCCTTTCGTCCGTCTAGTCATTGACTAAATATTCTTTAAAAAATTCACGCCTATGGTCCTGCTAGTCCTTGGAATATATTTTCTTTAAAAAATCCACGCCTATGGTCCTGCTAGTCCTTGAACAAATATTCTTTAAAAAATCCACGCCTATGGTCCTGCTAGTCCTTGAACAAATATTCTTTAAAAAATCCACGCTTTCGCCCTGCAAATCCTTGGAAAATATTTTCTTTAAAAATCCACGCTTTTCGTCCTTGGAAAATATTTTCTTCAAAAATCCACGCTTTTCGTCCTTGGAAAATATTTTCTTTAAAAATCCACACTTTTCGTCCTTAGAAAATATTTTCTTTAAAAATCCACGCTTTCGTCCTGCAAATCCTTGGAAAATATTTTCTTTAAAAAATCCAGCCTTTGGAAAAATATTCTTTCAAAAAAATATTCCACGCCTATGGTACTGCTAGTCCTTGAACAAATATTCTTCAAAAAATTCACCTGTCCTTGAATATTGTTATTTAATCCAAGCCTTTCGTCCTGCCGGCCCTTGAATCTTTTTTTTCTAAAAAACCGCGATTAAGGCCCTGCTAGTCCTTGAATATTTTCTTTAAAAAGCCACGTTTAAGGTCATGTTAGTCTTCGAAAAATATGTTTTAAAAAGTCCACGCCTTGGGTCCCTCTAATCTTTAGAAAAATATTATCGAAAATATCCACGATTATAGTTCTGATGGTCCTTGTAAAAACTTTTATTTGAAAATCCCCAAATCTAGTACTGAAAGTCCTTGAAAAAATATTATATTATTATTTGTTTTAATCCTTAAAATTCCACGCTTTTGGTTCTGATGATCCTTGGCGAAATAGTTTTTAAACTTCCACTTTTTAAAAAATCATAACAATTCTATGATCCCTCATTATATTCTCTTTTTTCTCCCTCTCTTTTCCAGGATTCCTCTCCAATTCACAATCTGGCCAACACAAAGAAACACCACCTTCATCCATACCACCACCACCATCATCATCAGCGTGCCAACGATCTCAATTCGTCAACACTGACAGCAGGCGGCGACACCCTCACCACAGACACAGAACGTGAAGCCCTCTTGGAGACCCGTAACAACATCAATATTCAGGCCCATTTAGGTGGACCGGCGGTGGTGGTGAATCACCTGAAACGTGATACCATAACCAAACAACTCAACCCCTCGAAGTTAGCTTTGCAGCACACGAAAAATACCTCCTCCCGGGGAGGTAGTTTGACGAACAGCGGCAAGGTCGTTGGTGGCGGTGGTGGTGTCAACGGCGGCGGAGATATTGCCTCCGTTGAAGGTTTTGCGGGTAGCGGTAATTATGATTTGGAGGGCCCTCATGCAGGCTCTTTGGGGCTTGCAGGGGGCCCACAGCCGAGGCGTATACGTTTTGGTAATTTCCTTAAGTCCCTGGTGGGATTGCGGCCTTCGGTGGCTACGAAGAATGCCAATGCAGGTGGGGAAACAACTACGGGGGGTCATAATGCTGCGAGTGGCGGTTGTGGTGGTGGTGGTGAGTCGGATACTGTGCAAATACCCTCCTCACCGGAAATCACAATCACACGTACCCCATCCGAACAAAATATGGTCGTTATGCGCGATCCTAGCGGCCGTGCCCAGGATTACAATGTGGTCTATAGCAGTCGGGAAAAGTTAGCCCAGTCCAATGGCGAACGGATAGTCCAGCCCGGTGGTGGTGGCGGAGGTGGTAGTACCTCATCGCTAAATGTTATGCAACAGAAGCTGTGGAACATTATGCGTCGGGAGGGTAGTGCAATAAGTCTACATCAGGAGAAATCCCAATCGATAGTTCATTATACGGGTCTGAGGAAGTGTGAGACGGTTATAGCTTTAACAAGGCAGGCCAGTTCGCCGTGTTCGCCAACAATGGCTGGGGGCGGTGGCGGGAATCAGATAGGCAACAGCCAATCGCAGCAACGGCTGCCACACACGGGTAGCGGCATTTTCAGTGCCAACGGGGTAGAACAAATACGTCCATTAAATCGACTGAGGAATAGTGTTTCCAGCATGAACAATACTTGCTCACGGTGTTCCAGTCTACTGTCACTGGCCGCCTCCAGTTCGCGATACTCGCTGAACAGTGCCACGGCCAATCCGCATCCATATCATCAGCATCAGCACTATTTGCATCCACAGCAGTCGCAACAGCACTCCCATCAGCAGCTGCAGTATCCTCTCCAGCAAATAGCGACCACTCACTTTACCCAATACCACCAGCAACCCAATCCTAGTAATAATCTAAGCAGTAGTAATCTAAGTAGTAGTACCTATAGTCAGCAGCAGCCGCAGCAGCAGCATAGCCGCAATGGTTCCCTAGATGCCGGTGGCGGTCTTCACTTTGCCGTTAAACGCAATAACCGCAACTCATCATCGTCGAACAATTCGGGCGGCTCGCAACGCAACTCCAGCTGCAGTGCAACGGCAAGTCGAACACCATCGCTAACCTCACCCACCACCATAACAACCACGACCGCAACTACCGCTTCCACTCTAAAGCTAACACCGCCACCCACCGAAACATCACTGCTGACACCACCAGCTACGGCCTCATATCTGGGCCTACACTCACCATTCTTTGCATCCAGTAGTGGCCAGGAGGGCCAACACACCGATGTGGTGGACGGCCAGACACGGCGTGATAAAGCCGAGGAGTTGACATTCTTTCCCATGGAAAAGACAACATCCTCACATCTTAAAATGCCAAATGTGAAACAAGAAACAGAAGAGAAGAACCACATTTCGATGGCTGCCGCCGGTCCTGGCCCTGGGGGAATGGTGGTGATTGATGGTCTTCCCAGCACCTGCACAGAGTCGCATGGTAACGTGACTTCATCATCGGCAAATGCTGTGGGTGGGGAATCTTCAAAAACAACAACAACGGATCTGATCCAACCTGACATCATTGCATCCTCAACATCATCATTGGCTGTGGCAATTCGTCCCTTTGAACTGTTCACCTGTAAGCTATGTCTTATCGAAGTCGAAGATGCCAGCAATTCGACGGTGTTGCATCAATGCGGTTGCCAGTTTTGTACAGAGGTAAGTCTGTCCGACAATCAGTCTCTTTTTTACATAGCATATTTCTTGGGTAGCATGATGGCGGTGGCGAAGTACACAAGCCAACTTTATTGTTGATCCTGGCATTTCTCCTGTTTCTTTGACTGCCTCTCTACCAGGATTTTATTTACCCAAGCAGTTCGGTTGGAAATATTCCACATTTTTCTGTTTGTTTTTATATTTGGTGGGTTTCTGCTTCGTCTTCTTCGTTTTTGGCGAAACACAAACATATGTCCGCACATAAATTCAATTTGACGTGGTTTGCAAACAGCATTTTGAGGTGGGGTGGGGTACGGGGATTTATTTAATTTCATTTGGTTTGGATTTCGTTTAAAGGTAATTTGTAATTGAATTTAAGTTTTCATAAATCATGGAGCGGAAAGAAAGGGAATTTATAACAATACAAGGATAAGTTGATCAAGTATCCTTGAAATCATTCAATATGGCTTAAAACAATAAAAATTTTTGAATGGCCTATTCAAACAATTATTATTTTAAGAAATCTCCCAAAGATATGCTCTAAAAAGTAATTTTAACAAATTTATGCCAAAAGATATGGATTTAGAAATGCTTGTTTAAAAAAATCACGACCATACGTCCTCCTTCAGTAAAATATGTCATCAAAATAATGTAATCAACATCCACGCCTCAAAACATGCTGAAAAAATATTTTTTATAAAATTGACGCCTGTAATCATGCCAGCAAATAATTTTGAAAAAAATCTTCACCTAAAAATATGTCATGACAATAATCCACGCCTCAAAACATTGTAGGAAATTAATTATTTAAAAGATATACGCCTCAAAACAGTGTGGGAAATTAATTATTTAAAAGATCCACGCCTCAAAACATTCTGGGAAAATAATTTTTTAAAAGATCCACGCCTCAAAACATTCTGGGAAAATAATTTTTTTAAAGATCCACGCCCCAAAACATTCTGGGGAATTAATTATTTAAAAGATCCACGCCTCAAAACATTCTGGGAAAATAATTTTTTAAAAGAACCACGCCTCAAAACACTCTGGTAAAATAATTTTTAAAGTATCCACGCCTTTAAATAGGCCTTGAAAATAATCCACGCCTTAGAATAGGCCATGAAAATAATCCACGCCTTAAAATAGGCCATGAAAATAATCCACGCCTTAGAATAGGCCATGAAAATAATCCACGCCTTAGAATAGGCCATGAAAATAATCCACGCCTTAGAATAGGCATTGAAAATAATCCACGCCTAAAAATAGGCCATCAAAATAATCCACACCCAAAAATATGCCATGACAATAATAAAAATAGGCCTTGAAAATAATCCACGCCTTAGAATAGGCCATGAAAATAATCCACGCCTAAAAATAGGCCATGAAAATAAGCCACGCCTAAAAATAGGCCATGAACATAATCCAGGACTAAAACTAGGCCATAAAAATTATCCATGCCTTAAAATAGGCCATAAAAATAATTTACGCCTAAAACAGGCCATGAAAATAATCCACATATATACCATATATGTGGTATATACCATAAATACCATAAAAATACTTTGTGTAAAATCCACTCTTCTAAACATTAAATTTGAAATTAAAAAAAACTTCCACCAACACCTATAAATGTGTCTTGAGAAATGCCTAATTTAAAAAAAAAAAAAAAATCACAGCTAAGGATATGCCTTGAAAAGTAATTAAAAAAATACTCCTCAACGTATGCCTTGAAAAATAATTTTTAAAAAATTCATTCCTCAACATATGCCTTATTTTACAAAATCCACGCCTAATTATATGCTATGAAAACTAATTTAATACAAATCCATCCCTAATGATATCCTATGAAAACGTCAATAGATATGCCTTGAAAAGCCATTTTAAAAATATCCCCGTCTATAGAAGTATTTAGTAAAAATATTAAAAAAATCCGCGCCTTTAAGCTTTGAAAAATATTTTTTCTTAAGTCCACGCCATAGATAGTCATTGAAAATAATTAAAAAAAAAAATAACACTTTTTGATGCGCCTAGCAAAAATAATTAAAAAATCCCTCGCCTTTATATGCGCCTTACAAAAATAATAAAAAAAATCCACGCCTTTGAATATGCCATGAAAAATATTTGTCCTTAAATCCACGCCTTTAAATAAGCGTTAAACATTTTTTTCTAAATCCAAACCATAGATAGTCGTGGGAAAATCATTTTAAAAAATCCACGCCTTTAGATAGTTATTGAAAATTATTATTATTATTATTTTTTTTTTTTTTTTTTGAAAAATCCACGCCTTTAAATATGTCTTAAAAAATGTTCCTTACAAAATCCACGCCTATAGATAATCGTTGAAAAGTATTTATAAAAACAAGCCTATAGATAGTTGTTAAGAACTAATTAAAAAAATCCATGCCTACAAATATGCTTTGAAAAATAATTTTTAATAAATCTGCGCCTATAGATATGCTATGAAAAATGATTTTAATAAATCCGTGTCTATAGATATGCCGAGAAAAAAATATTAAAATAATTTACTTCAAAAAAAAAAAAAAAATTAAAAAACCACGCCTATAGATATGCATTATAAATATATATTTTTTTAAATCTTCGCATATAAACATGCATTCTAAAATAATTTTTAAAAAATCGATGCTGTAGATATGCCTTCAAAAAATATTTTTTAATAAACCCGCGCCAATAGATATGTCTTCAAAAATATTTTTTTTTAAAAACCACGCCTATATATATGTTTTGAAAAAGTATTTTTAAAAAATCCACACCTACAGAATGCATTGAAAGATATTTTTTCTAAAATCTATTCGATTCTTAAAAAATCCACGCCAATAGATCATCATTGAAACATAATTTGTAAAACAAACCACTCATATAGATATGATTTTTAAGAAATCCACGCCCATAAATATGCCTTCAGCTTTCACATTAAAGTATACGTATGTGTTTTGTCCCCCACACAATAACAGCAACAATTAACCCGAGCTGTGCCAGCGTGACCATATGGTCACACTCATAAGACGTTCCATAAATCATGTTAAAAAAACCTGTGCCCGAGCAGTGCTGGTGTGAACATATAGTCAAATCCTAAAAACTGATCCTGGCGATTATGCTGAAAAGAAAAAGGGATGCAAATCAAATTTTTTTATTCAGTGACCCACAATCGAGAGTCGCTGAAAGTTTCGCCCCAAAATTCGAAAAAATAATTACAGCACTATACGGGTTAATACGGCTTTGTAGTTTTGGCCAAATACAAACACACACACTCACACACACCTTATACACATATGAAAGAAATACACCACTGAAATTGGTGACAATTTTGCACAGATATGTCAGTTTTAAACAGCTTTGCAAATAAAGCTTTCATACAACCGACACACATGAAGAGAAAATCGGGAGGATGAAAGATGGAGACAGCAGGAAATGGTAGAAGAATAACTAGTGCATAACTTTTGTGTATTTCCAGCTACTCCTAAATAAAAGTGAACAATAATAACACAACAACAAATCCAACCATACATCCATCCATCAGAGACTCACTCACTTCACTCAGATATCCTTCAGTGTGATGTGGTTTTGCTATCATGGCAATTTCCACTTCAGAAAACTCCAGTTGGCACTGCTCAGCACTGCTGATGATAGCAGCAGGAGGCACCAAAAATGCTGACTGACAATTTACAAAAATGATGACAATGACAAAGACGGGATGAGATGAGGACAACATTGAGGATTGTGTTGTTATTTTAACAAAACTAGACACGTTCAAAAATCTAACTCATATCAGTGGATTTGTGACCCAACAACAATACAATGCACCTTCCTTTCATAAACCCTGGATTTCTGGGTTAAAATGTTACGAAGGAGGAGGAGGAGTAGCAGCACTAAATTGTTCCTTGCTGACTGGCTGGTTAGATGAACATCGATCCATGACATTTGTTTTGTTAGGTTATTTAGTCACTTGAATGTGTGACTGTCGAAGTGACTGGCCAAAAGACTGTGTCGACGACTGCTGACGTAGGGTTATTGTTTGGTTTCAATAATGATTTTACCACACAATTGTCAGCTGCTGCTGCTGAGGCTGATGATGGTGGTAGTGGTGGCCGTTGAAGTGAATAATGACAGCTGCAGCCATAAACAAACCAGGGAATTGTACACTCAGGAAGACTTTTAAGCGACAGATAGACATATCGACTACGTGTCACATTTAACTATTTGACTAAAAGGAACATAAATGAAATCAATCCTCCTTGGTAGTTAAGAGCAAACTTTAGGTACTTTAAAGCAGAAGGTGGATTATAAATATACAAATATGCCTTAAAAATAATTTTTAAAAAATCCTTACTTATCTGACTTGTTACAGAACGGTTGTTCCATAAGCCGAGCTTAAAAAAGATTTCCAAGCGCTTCGGTCTTGTGCGCATCTCCTCCAATTTAAAAGACCACTTTCCAAGATGTTGTTTTCTACTTGGTCTTTCCATCTAATTCGTGGCCTTCCCCTTCTACGGGAACCATCAGTAGGCTCGTTTTTATATGCATTTTGAGCTGGGGCATTCCCATTCATTCGCACAACATGGCCTAGCCAGCGTAGTCGCTGCAGCTCAATACGACTGACTATGTCGATGTCCGCGTATAAGCTGTTGAGCTCGTGGTTCATCCAACGCCGATATTCACCGCCGACGCAGATCGTCCCGTAGATCTTTCGGAGAATTTTTCTTTCAAACACCCCAAAAGCTGCCTCATGTGCTTGCGCAAGCACCCATGCTTCAGATCCATATAACAGCACGGATAGTATCAGCGTCTTGTAAAGTGTGAGTTTGGTCTTGCGGGAGGTGGCCTTGTTTATAAACTGCTTACTTAGACCTTAGTAACATCTGTTGGCCATCACAATCCTTCTCCGAATTTCAAAACGGATGTCATTCGTTTTATTTATGGCAGTAACAAGGTATATAAGATCTTCAACTACCTCGAGGCTGTAGTTCTCAAGTTCCACAGTTGGTCCG